GACTACAGATGTAGAGGAGGTAGACTATAGATGTAGAGCAGGTAGACTACAGATGTAGAGCAGGTAGACTACAGATGTAGAGCAGGTAGACTACAGATGTAGAGCAGGTAGACTACAGGTGTAGAGCAGGTAGACTACAGGTGTAGAGCAGGTAGACTACAGATGTAGAGGAGGTAGACTACAGATGTAGAGCAGGTAGACTACAGATGTAGAGCAGGTAGACTACAGATGTAGAGCAGGTAGACTACAGATGTAGATCAGGTAGACTACAGATGTAGAGCAGGTAGACTACAGATGTACAGCAGGTAAACTACAGATGTAGAGCAGGTAGACTACGGATGTACAGCAGATAGACTACAGATGTAGAGCAGGTAGACTATAGGTGTACAGGAGATAGACTACAGATGTAGAGCAGGTAGACTACATATGTATAGCAGGTACACTACAGATGTAGAGCAGGTAGACTAAAGATGTAGAGCAGGTAGACTATAGGTGTACAGGAGATAGACTACAGATGTAGAGCAGGTAGACTACATATGTATAGCAGGTACACTACAGATGTAGAGCAGGTAGACTAAAGATGTAGAGCAGGTACACTACAGATGTAGAGCTGGTAGACTACAGATGTAGATCAGGTAGACTACAGATGTAGAGAAGGTAGACTACAGATGTAGATCAGGTAGACTACAGATGTGGAACAGGTAGACTACAGATGTAGAGCAGGTACACTACAGATGTAGAGCAGGTACACTACAGATGTACAGCAGATATACTACAGATGTAGAACAGATAGACAGACTACAGATGTAGAGCAAATAGACTACAGATGTAGAGCAGATAGACTACAGATGTAGAGCAGGTAGACTACAGATGTAGAGCAGGTACACTACAGATGTACAGCAGATAGACTACAGATGTAGAACAGATAGACAGACTACAGATGTAGAGCAAATAGACTACAGATGTAGAACAGGTAGACTACAGATGTGGAACAGATAGACTACAGATGTAGAGCAAATAGACTACAGATGTAGAGGAGGTAAACTATAGATGTAGAGCAGGTAGACTACAGATGTAGAACAGGTAGACAACAGATGTAGAGCAGGTAGACTACAGATGTAGAGGCGGTAGACTACAGATGTAGAGCAGATAGACTATAGGTGTTTCTGGGATATCTCCACATGGGAGAGTTGTGTGTACGATCAAATGACATACGTCTGAGCTGCCTTCTGTTCTACTCGATCAACACCTGTTACTGATTTGACTTGACATTATTGTGTGGTTGAAGGGAGATAACTCGTAATGAGGTATATTTATAGAGCAATAACAGCGAACGCCTGAATAGTGTATCACCATTTGAGCTGTTCCCGAACTTCCCGTGTGTTGTAAACAGACATACGAGGGGCACATTGAAGAGCGATGTTCGAGTAGCAGTACGAGTACTGAGTCCCATGGGGTACTGTCAATCGCTCTTCAATGTGTCACTTTATGAATACTCTGTACACAAGCTTATCCATTTCTGCAGTTTCGATAGGGGTACATGTGATGTCACGTAAAGTAGGCCCATGTGCATGTCAACATTACGTTTATGTGAATGATCTAAACCTTTCTTCAATATCATACAGCTATTTTTATCATGCACACAACGGAAGCATTTCAGGCTCAAAACGTTTTGATAGCCCCTCGTAAACAGTGTACACAACCGCTTGATGGTTCACGCAGAGCTCAGTTTTTCAGCCACGTGTTTGTGGCAGCGACCTACTTTGTATATCTGAGTGTTATGATCACTTTGCGCCAGTTAGCCTTTAAGTATTGTAAATAATCGTTAATTCTCTATCTTTATTTCAGCCTCCAACAGGCGTTGACATATGCAATGTAAATATATATTGTAATATATAGCTTTGTTTCCGCTCACTATAGTAGCTGAAATGGAATTATTCATAATGTAAGTACTTTTGATAAGTTTCTTGATTTCAGCTCATATCAGCGCTGAAACAGTTCATATACTTAATATACTCAACAATGACCATACGTTACGATTGGTCCATTCAAACCTGCATGCTTTTTCTATGTCTGAACACCTCGCACCCTCACACGTCATATCGTCACCAGACACGCCTGACAAAACTTGTTTGACAGGCAAGTAAACTAACTATCTTCAATGTGTAATCTTAAACACACAACATTTATTAAATAAGGGTAATTAATGCCGTCAGTGTAGTTAGCGTGTGTTGTAAACGACACGCGGGTAGACGCAAAGTTTCTGTTTTAATGTGTATCATATCTTCCCTGATAACGTAAATAACATTAAATAACTATGAAGCGGGGCATTGTGAGAATGTTTTGTGTAGGAATGTTGTCTCATTGTTGTTATCGCAGTTTGCACAAGGTGAGGTGAGGTGAGGTGAGGTGAGGTGAGGTGAGGCGAAGTGAGTTGAGGTGAAATTGGGCTTAACGTCGTGCTTGAGAATATATCGCTCATATGACGACGTGCATGCGTGTGTATGTGTATGTACGTATGCTTGTAGACTTCAGCTGGTTTTAGAGTGCTAGCCCACTGAGATACCATGCCGCAGTGAAGCATGAATACCCCACTCAGACACATTATATTGACTCCAAGCCGACCAGTCCTTGTTGTACCAATTAATGCCGAGCGCCAGGCAGGGACCAACAAGTACCACATTTTAACGTCTTTTGGTATGACGAGGTCGGGGGTCGAGCCCGCGACCTTCCGCTCTCGGGGCGGACGCTCAAACCACTATACCACGGAGGCGGTCTCTAAACACAATGTAGTGATCGGTGCTACCGCTCTCGTACATCGGGTAACATTGGATTGGCCATCCGATGCTGCTCGTATGTTTCCGAGTGTGATCGAGGCACGTGATCAACTTACCAGCCAAATCTGACAGATGACAATTAGGAGATCAAGACGAGACACTGACGACTACGGACACGAATACTTCGCAGAACCCTATAAAGTTGATCTCCCCACTCATCATCGCTTACGAAGCAAGGTAAGCGCCTTTCCCTATCACCCGGCTTTCACAACAACAAATAATGGCAAAGTATCTCAATCGAAGGTTTTATAGAGTATCAAATATATCTTTCCATGCTTATCATTATGTCGATATGGAGAGTCTACACTGAATCGGTTTGGTTTTGATCACAACCTATCTTATTTCCAGCACACATTATTCCATCGTCTGCTATGGCAGCCCAGGCTAAAACACGGCCCCTGTGCCATACATAGGGTATGTAATGTGCCGGACAATACTGTTTATAACATGTATATATATCATTCTAACATAAAGAATCATCGTTCCTTTATGTTAACCTTCTAAGGTAAATATTGTATGCTATGCGGCGATTACCACCGTTATACCACTAGGGTGCGTTATGTCCATTGTTCCAGCGGGTTGATTTTCTGCGTATCGACCTCCTGTCTGCACGTGCAGAGGTTGATATGTGGATAACGACCCGGTCGGTGCGGGAAACGCACGAGCAACAAGAAATGTAACGAGTCCATGCGGCGCCCACGTGGTATAAGTAGGTTAGCACACACACACACACACACACACACACACACCCCCCCCCCCCCACCTCTGCGGGTGATATGGATTCAACGCTTGAGGAGGGTGCTAACGTATACATATCATTTATGGCTTTGTTTAACTCATGTCATGAGTTATCGCCCCTGATCTTTGTAACTTTCAACCCCTCAGTGATCATGATATTTCTGTAATGTTTTAATGCACAGATAATATTGTCGGCGCTCATGCATTCAAGCTGTATTAACATTTATACCGTTAATGTACTGAATATTTACAAAGAGATGTAAATGTATGTTCTGTAAACATGCTGGACATTGTTATTATATTGTTATATTGTTGCCACAATTGTTCCAGGGTTTAGCGTGTACACTGAATTCTCAAGCCACTTGGAAGTAAACTTACAACCCTGCATTTACTTTGCGTGTTGTCATGGTGACCCAGCCACATGTTGATGACGGTAGTTTGTATATAGTCGAGTGTTGGCCGGATAAACGAGTGATTGCTATTATGGCAGCATCCAAGCAGCCGGTGCATGACAACAATTATTCTTCCTAGTGACAGAACCTATTCATATAGTCCCCATGGACGACATGTTCCTTGATCCTTGATAACCAGAATCCCATGGGAATGAAGCTTACGGTTCGTGACCGATGTTAACCACATGCCAGTCTTGACCAATCTGTACACAAGTCTGTGAGTGTCCAGACATCATTCAGTAATCTTAAGGGTCAACGTGCGGGTGTTATGTCCAGGAGCTCTGACAGACCCTGGTCGCCTTCTTTGATACCAGCACAACTAAATCTCGTGAAGTATACTTCAGCATTTACTCTTTAATATTAAACGTCAAGACAAAAAAACGTCCAGTCCAGTCCTCAGAAAAGTTAGGGAGTGTTTTAACACCGCTTTTAGCAGTATCACGGCGGGACACCTAAATGGGCTTCACACATTTGGTCCATGTGGGGAATCAAACCCGGGTCTTCCGTCTGACGAGCAGACGAGTCCATACGTATGTTCATGTTCTCCAAGATAAACTGTTTTTCATATTCAAACCCAAACCAACAGACATCATGTGCTTTGTGAACGTGTTGAGTGTAGCAGACCCACAAAAAGATAACGGTGCAACTTATTCCTGGGTGAGAGAGTGAGTGATTGTAGTTATGCAGTCATCCAGCTATATCACAGGAGCTTGAAGATCGCAATCTTAACACTATCACAGCTATAAGACTGCGACAATAAATCTTGAATCGTGACCCTGGGCATTCAAAACACAACCACTCATTCGACATCACTCGTCCCTTTCCGTAACATGCAAACTGACCTGAATGACGAGTTGATCACGAATGAACCACGTCAACCCTGTACGGTATATCTCTTCCTGTGCTCATTTTCCCTCTACACCGGTTACTTAGGATCTATCTCGCCTGGTGCTCAGTTTCCCTCTACACCGGTCACCTGTCTGTCTCAGGTAAGTGTGTTGTCACAGGGGCTGTGTCTATTCCAGTTATAACGCTACACACCTGTCCTGCTGTGTACAGGTAACGCTACAATGGTTCATCTAACTGTTAGGTCATCTCCAGGCACATTCTCAAATCCGGGCACCTAATATACTGCAATATTTAGACTGAGCATGGTGTATGAAGTGTCTACTTTCATTACTTCCTTGATCGGCCTGTTGACTTCAATACTGATATCTGTCCCGATGTATGTGGATGTATGTATCACGTGTGTATGTTACAGTTATTACTGAATTGATCTCTGATAAATGCAACATCACAAACATATGGTAAAATACTTCTACATAACCACATTATTTTACAACTAATGTACTGGAATCCGAACTTAACTTCTCCTACTTTCGATATGGTAATGAGCGGGTGTCGCCATAAACTCTGTCAGGTGATCGACATGCTGCACACGGTTATCTGATTGATGGTGCTCCTTGACACCAAAACATGCCCAGTCTGTTATATTATACAATGTCATGTGGTAATGCTTGTCAACCTCAAAAGATAACATATTCTACAGCACAATAGCACAACCCATACAACAGCGAGGGGGGACCGACCACCTGACTTTCATGGCAGTGTTTCGTGAACTAAAGACCAAAACTAAACTGTGAATTACTTCCGTAAAGAATAAGCTTTAAAACCAACAAAACATCCCAAAGAAATGTGCTGTAATTAACAGCTGTATTATAATATTAATGAAGTTCAGAAATCAGTTCAAAGGTATCACAATGACGGTACACACTAGAGTGGGAGTACAATATAATAACGCAAAACAATTGTACAATACAAGTGCTCATAAACATTGTATTGAAGCTCAACGGTTTCAGTATCAATGTCAGGCAAAAGAGAGAATTTACAAGATGGACAGAATCAAACAAACAGACGGTCACTTCCCTTTATTCAGCTTCTAACGCTTTTCAAATACAGGATTGTTTGTGTATAACGTGCAATATGTGATGGAATGGGTGTTCTGTGTTTTATTTATGACCAGCAAGACAGAGCGACCCACACACACACATCATACACACACAATACAGACGACCCATGTTTTATTTATGACCAGCAAGACAGAGCGACCCGAACACGCACACATCATACACACACAATACAGACGACCCATGTTTTATTTATGACCAGCAAGACAGAGCGACCCACACACGCACACATCATACACACACAATACAGACGACCCATGTTTTATTTATGACCAGCAAGACAGAGCGACCCACACACACACATCATACACACACAATACAGACGACCCGTGTTTTATTTATGACCAGCAAGACAGAGCGACCCGAACACGCACACATCATACACACACAATACAGACGACCCATGTTTTATTTATGATCAGCAAGACAGAGCGACCCACACACGCACACATCATACACACACAATACAGACGACCCATGTTTTATTTATGATCAGCAAGACAGAGCGACCCACACACGCACACATCATACACACACAATACAGACGACCCATGTTTTATTTATGACCAGCAAGACAGAGCGACCCACACACGCTCACATCATACACACACAATACAGACGACCCATGTTTTATTTATGACCAGCAAGACAGAGCGACCCACACACGCTCGCATCATACACACACAATACAGACGACCCATGTTTTATTTATGACCAGCAAGACAGAGCGACCCACACGCACACATCATAAACACACAATACAGACGACCCATGTTTTATTTATGACCAGCAAGACAGAGCGACCCACACACGCTCACATCATACACACACAATACACACGGCCCATGTTTAATTTATGACCAGCAAGAGAGAGCGACCCACACACGCTCACATCATAAACACACAATACATACGACCCAGTTACAACCCGTCTACCAATGTTATCTCTCATTGATTTAAAATCTACATAAACTCACTGGCGAAAGAAACGTCGCCAAAATTATGTTTTTTCCTTTTATCGTACCTTTGTATTTTTTCATTAAAAAGCGGGTTTTAACAACTTGCCCGAACGCAACCAACAAACACTACGCATTGAATTGCATGAGATTCATGTAATTTGTGTAAAAATGTTTAATTTGCACGGGATTTTTGCGAAATCCTTTCGTAAAAAGCCGTATTGAATTCAGGTATAAAATGTGTAGAGAAATGATGTATTCCATTATCACATCGTATGGTAGAAAGGAAACATGCCGAGGCTAACAGCACAGCAGAGAGAACGAGCTATTGGTATGGTGGATTTGGGAGCGACGCAGTCCCATGTTGCAAGGTTGATGAACTGTTCAAAGGGAACAATCCTGAGATTGGTGAGCCATTACAGACGGACGGGTGTCACGTCTGACAAGCCTAGAAGCGGACGTCTAAGAGTCACGACCCCCGAGGAAGACCGTTATTTACGACTGCTTCACGTGAGGAACCGCTTCTTAACTGTGACGTCATGAGCCCGAACTGCTCTTGACCATCCAGTCAGCAGAAAAACCGTTGCCAGTCGTCTTCGACACCAGGGTATCAGAGCCTATCGACCGCTGAAGGCTATGACGTTGACGCCTGAACATCGTCGTCAAAGACTGAGGTGGGCGAGAACTGTTGAGCGATGGCAGGCAAGAAACTGGTCCAGAGTGCTCTTTACCGTCGAAAGCCGTTTCCAAGTGTTTAAACCTTACGGTAGACAACGGGTATACCGAAGGCGGGGAGAACGTACACGACGTTGCTGCGTACAAGACACCAACCACTATGGTGGTTGTAGCTTGATGGTCTGGGGTGGGATTTGTGGCGAAATGAAGACTGATCTTATTGTGATTCATGGTAATCTAACAGCTGCACGGTACATCAATGAAGTTGTAAGACCAGTCGTCGTGCCATTCATCCAGAATCTCCCACGTACCGTGTTCCAACCAGACAACGCCACACCTCATAAGGCACGCATCAGTATGGACTTCCTCAATGCCCAGAATGTGACGTTACTTCCTTGGCCAGCTCGATCTCCCGACTTGTCCCCCATTGAACACCTGTGGGACCACCTTGGACGACAAATCAACAAGCGACAGCCACCCATACAGACAAGGGAGGCGTTGGCACAGGCCCCACAGGAAGAATGGCGGAGAATCCCGATACTTGTGATCAGACGACTGACATTATCCGCTAGACGACGTGTTCATGCTTGCATACAAGCCAGGGGTGGCCACACACGATATTGACTGTATTAAACTGTCTGTCTCCACTTTAGAGCCGCTTATGATGAAACAGATGGTGTTCGAATACCGGACAGTCAACTGTCCTCGATTCAATTGTACACTGTGTGATCATTCATATCTGTAGTTCACACTTTCATCATTCAGAATGTTGTAAAACCATTAATTTTCCAAATATGATTGTTACATTTCCAAAATCTGAGTTTGTTGTTTTGTGACATGTTAAAAAAGCGAGGTGACGTTTCTTTCACCAGTGAGTTTATATCTGATATTATGCTTTCCATCGCTCATTATTTCAAGAGCCGGATGTACTTGACATAGGAATTTTTGTAGTTGTAGACCTGTCAGTAAATCGGGACTACAAATATGGTCGGTGTTCGTGTAATGAATGTTGTGGGTTGGACAGTGGATAGAATGTTCATGTCGTGTCTGTTGTCTTTTGATAGGAGAGATGGCGACCTCCCAGAAGTTGACGGAACACTTCCTCACATGCACCATATGTACAGAGGTGTTTGACAAGCCCTGTACACTTGTGTGTAATCACACCTTCTGTCGGAAATGTGTCGTCAACTACACCAAAACCAGACCGGAAGCCATCAGTGCCAAGTCTCTCCTGTGTCCATTCTGCAGGAAGATGACGAAAGTGTCTGAGCCCGAGAGACCAGTGGAGGAGTGGGCGGATGACGTCAAGCCTATCTTTGTCATCCAGGGACTGTTGGACTCGTTTGGCCCCGGATCTAAAGGTGAATAGTTGTAGGTTGTAGCAACATACGTGTTGTTTGTAAGCAGGTAACAGAATAATTGATTTAAGCAATATAAATGTTTGTGATGTTATGAACATTGTGTGACCCCTGCTATGTATATACTGGTATAGTTTGATGTATGTAAAAAAACTGTTTGTGAGGAATGTGAACTTTCATTGTGGATATGTGTCCAACGAGCAAGACACAGCATATCAGGTGACATGACCAAAGACATATATAAACCTTATTCATGATCCGTACAACAACGTTTACGTTGAGACAATTTCAAACATATTTACATGACGTTTCAATCTGAGACGTGTTACGATGTTTCCAATACATTTTGTCACATGTGTCAAGTAGGAACATGATGCGACACATCCAGTCCTATAATACATTGCGATGTAACCAGGTTAATATCACCACATCTAGCCCTATAATACATTGTGATGTCACAAGGTTAATATCACTACATCTAGCCATATAATACATTGTGATGTCACGAGGTTGGTATCATCATATCTAGCTCTATAATATATTGTGATGTCACCATGTTACTATCCCCACATCTAGCCATATAACACATTGTGATGTCACAAGGTTAATATCACCACATCAAGCCATATTATTAACACATTGTGACGTCACTAGGTTAATATCACCACATCTAGCCCTATAATACATTGCGATGTTACCAGGTTAATATCACCACATCTAGCCCTATAATAGATTGTGATGTCACCAGGTTAATATCCCGACATCTAGCCCTATAATACATTGTGATGTCACCATTTTAATATCCCCACATCTAGCCATATAATACATTGTGCTGTCATGAGGTTGGTATCATCATATCTAGCCCTAGAATACATTGTGATGTCACCAGGTTACTATCCCCACATCTAGCCATAATACACATTGTGATGTCACAAGGTTAATATCACCACATCAAGCCCTATTATTAACACATTGTGACGTCACTAGGTTAATATCACCACATCTAGCCCTATAATACATTGTGATGTCACCAGGTTAATATCACCACATCTAGCCATATAATAGATTGTGATGTCACCAGGTTAATATCCCGACATCTAGCCCTATAATACATTGTGATGTCACCATTTTAATATCCCCACATCTAGCCATATAATACATTGTGATGTCACGAGGTTAATATTACCATATCTAGCCCTATCATACATTGTGATGTCACCAGGTTAATATCACCACTCGAATGAATGGTTATTTCAGATACAACTAACTGCAGTTATTGCAAGGAGGAAGGGGAGACAACTCCAGCTACATCTTGGTGTTCTGTTTGTGACTACGCACTATGTGAACAATGTACAAGGATGCACCAACGATTCCCCTCTTTCCGTCACCATGACGTAGTTGACCTGTCTGGAGAGACAAAGGTCAAGGTTAAGAGAAAGGTCATGTGCAAAGTTCACAAGAATAAAAGGATCAAATATCTTTGCAAAGATTGTAAAACAGCTGTTTGTCAAACATGCTGCACGATCCATCACAGGAAATGTGACATGGTTGTTGAAATTGAGTCAGAGATTCCTGCAATGAAAACCGAGCTGAAAAGGAATAAAGAGAATTTGTTAAAGAAACACGATGAGATGAAAACATATGTTGGAAAACAAAACTCCATTGTCAAAGAAGAATTGGCGCTATATATACAAATAGAATCAAATATCAAGTCTGCAAGTCTCACAGCAATACGGATGATCAAAGCCAAGGAATGGAAACTTCTGTCTGAACTGAAAGAGATGTCTGACAGACACATTGGGCAACTGAAGGCAGACATAAAGTCAGGTGAGATGTCAGTACAGATGTACCAACAACAGACTGAGCTGATAGACCAGGCTCTACAATCTGAGTGTGACATGGATGTGTATGAGATGTATCAGGGATGTGAGGCCGGTGATGTTGAGGCTGTCGGAGTCGTAGACGTGAAGGAGAAGGGAAGAATAGACAGGATAACATTCAGACAGGACACGGACAAGCTGAGTAGAACACTGGAAGATCTCCCTCTGGGTGAGATACACGTCCAGTATGACGATGTGCTGGACCTGAAGGCTGCTCCTGTGTTACAGGACACTATTACTGTGCTGGACCTGAAGGCTACCCCTGTGTTGCAGGACACCATCAACGTGACAGTAGCAGGAGATGTAGGTGGAGAAGACCTGATTGACTTGACGGTGTTAGAGGTGAATGGTACAGACACAGTGGTAGTTACAGACTACAACAACAAATGTGTAAAGTCCTTCTTCACCAGGAACAGTCAGCCAGGTCACAGCAAGCTCAGTCTGGAAAGTGAACCATGGGGTATAACAAGGCTGAAACACAACCAGGTGGCTGTCGCTGTGTGGGATACCAGACAGATTGTAACAGTTGAAGTGAACCCTGACCTGGTGCTGCTGTCGACCATCACAACCAACAAACAGTACTGGGGTATAACGTCTCTGACACCATCAACACTAGCTGCAAGTTCCTACTCCCCTCCCTGTGTTGATATCCTGGATATGTCGGGACACATGCTGAAGTCAGTTTGGTCTGGTCACAGAGGTGGAGACATCTTAAAGTCTCCCAGCTTCCTCTGTACCACGAGGACGGGAAACATCCTGGTGTCGGACTGTGGAACCAAGTGTGTCGTATGTCTGACCCCCGAGGGAGATGTGGTGTTCAACTACAGACCTACAGGAGACACAGCACTGAAGTACCCACGCGGTATCACAAGTACCAGCACAGGCGACATCCTGGTGACAGACTCCCTACAACACAGAGTCATCCATCTGACAGAGTCAGGAGAGTTTGTTAGAAACATACTGACATCACAGGATGGTGTCCAGTATCCACTGGGACTGTGTGTTGGTGGTCGTGGTCGTATGTACGTTCATACAAATGGAGTGAAGGTATTTACATTCTGTAAGTGAGTGAACATGTCACAATTTCTTTCTTTATGTTAAATATAGATGTTACCTGGATAGATATGATGTGATGCACTGTAGGAACATTTGACTTTTGATGTGAACGTGACGAACCAAACCTGTTGTAGAAAGACACAGCTTGTAATGTAATGAGGGTCTGTGGGGTAGCCTAGTGGTTAAAATGTTCGCTCCTCACGCCGAAGACCCGGGTTTGATTCCTTACATGGGTACAATGTGTGAAGCCCATTTCTGGTGTCCCCTGCCGTGATGTTGCTGGAATATTGCTAAAAAGCTAAAAGCGATATAAAACCATACTCTCTCACCTACTGGAACGTAATGTAATGTAAGCAGCCATTACTTCTACTTTATATTCAGATATATTGTCTCAGTAACAATGTGTGGTCCAAAATCATGTAGAATATTGATATTTTGAGTTGTAATGATTTTGAATAATTCTTTCTTTAAGTGACTTTGATGAACAATTGTTTTACAAAATGTACTGAATGGGTTGTAGGTCTTATTGCATGTTTAACAGCAGTTTTCACTCTCTTCTCGACATGTTGTGTGATATGCAT